TAGAGGCTGGTCAATGAATTTCAAATATTCTTATAGACGAACTAGATTAATTTCTACAGCACAGCGTTTTAAAAAGCATTAAATCAAGATGCAGGTGGCTCCGTCACCGCGGAGAAGCTCCGTCAGATGTGATATTCTATGAGCATGTTCGGGACAGAAAAGCGGACGGCATGGCACCGCCGCGTCCCTTCCGCGCCGCCGGGGGAGGTGTCGCCGTCCGCGGGCGGCAGAGAAGTAAGGCGAGTCCCGGAGAGCAGTCTGGATCGTCCACCTGTCGGGAGTGGGCGGGGGCGAGAGGAGCGGAGAATGGCCGTCCTGATTGGTCTTTTCGTGGGCACAGGCTTCGCGCAGGCACGAGCGAGTGTCCGATCGCACCTCCCCGAGACAGATGTGGAGGAGGGAGGGGACGCTTCATGGAACACCTGAGGGCTGGTCGCGCACGCACCCGACAACTTCCTCGTATTACTCACCCGGCCTGGGACATCGCACCGAGAGTCGTCTCGAGGACATTCCTAAGTCGCTCATCCAGAATCATGACTGGAGTAAGGGATTTTTTTTTTTTTAAGTCGAGGGCTCACCCTGTGGCCCAGGCTGGGGTGCAGTGGCGCGATCACAGCTCACCACAGCCTCGACCTCCTAGGCTCAGGTGATCCTGCTGCCTCAGCCTCCCGAGTAGTTGGGACTATGGGCACCACTCCTGGCTAGTTTCTTCCTTCCTTCCTTCCTTCCCTTTCTTCCCTTTCTTTCCTTTCTTTCTTTCTTTTTTTTTCTGTAGAGATGAGGTCTCACTTTGTTGCCTAGGCTGATCTTGAACTCCTGAGCTCAAGCAGGCCTCCCGCCACGGCCTTCCAAAGTGCTGGGATTATGGAATTATAGGACATTTATTTATTTATTTATTTATTCATTCGTTCATTCATTCTGAGGGCTATTTTTTTAGAGCAGTTTTAGATTCACAGCAAAATTGAGAAAAAGTACCGAAAATTCCCATATACTTTATGCCCCTAGACATGCACAGCCTCCCCTATGATCAACAACCCCAAACAGAGTGATTCATTTGTTACAGCTGGTGAACCCACGCTGACACATCAATATTTCTCAAAGTTCACATTAAGGTTCACTCTTGGTGTTGTACATTCTGTACGTATAGACAAATGTGTAATGGCATGTATCCACCATTTGATATGAGTATTTTCATTGCCTTAAGTTGTGGACTTCCTTATTTTTATTTTTTTGACACAGGATCTCACTATGGTTGCCTAGGCTTAAGTGCAGTGACTATTCACAGCACATTACAGCCTCAAACTCCTGGGGTCCAATCCATCCACCTGCCTCCGTCTCCCAAATAGCTGGGATTACAAGAATCAGTCCTTCGGATAATTTGTTAAATCTGTTTCCCTTTTAGGTAGTAAGAGATTTAATAATCCAATGGACTCTTCAGACATACTCATGTATATCTCAAGGAAAGAGGCCTTTAGAGTTCTAAGTTACTGGAAGGATAGAAGAAAATAATGAAGTGAGGTTGGACTATTTTGTGGTAATACTCAAATCAACAATTCCAGAGGGTTTAACAGTAAGGAATCACTTAGGAGCTTTGTAATCTATCTCAGTGTCTAGTTAACCATACATGACCCAGTGTGTTTCTCGCACCAAGCACAAAGCATGTTTCTCTGGCAAGTAGAAGAATATGATAAGGCAGTGAGAAGTTCCTTTTAACCCAAAGACCTGCTTTCTATACCCTGAAAACAATGATCCCACATGGTCTGGACCAGCTTTTTTTTTCTTTTTCTTTTCTTTTTTTTGTGTGTCAGAGTCTTACTCTGTTGCCCAGGCTGGAGTGCATTGGCACGATCATTGCCACCACATCCTCAGTCTTCCAAGTAACTGGAGCCACGGGTGCACTCTACCATGCACAGCTAACATTTATTTATTTACTTATTTACTTACTCACTAACTTACTTATAGTAGGGACAAGGTCTCACCAAGTTGCCAAGGCTGGTCTCTAACCCCTGGGTTCAGTCAGTCCTCTCACCTCTGCTTCCCAAAGTACTGGGTTTACATGGAGGACCACTGTACCTGGCCTGGCACAGTTTTTTAAAAATAGATTTTCCTAAATGATCTTACAGTGGAGCCCCCTGAAAGGAAGGAAAGGATTCCAGAGCTCCATCCACTGTACTTTCCTCATGAATGCCCGAGGAGACTCGTGGAATGCAGAAACCAGTGGATGAGTCTGATCAGCTGGCTAAAATAGTAATATACAATAAAGACAGAAATTGTCAACTAGAACATTTAAGTCTTCCTGATTTTCAAAGCATTCACCAGCTCTTCCTATATTTGCATTTTGATATGGCTAATAATGGAGAGTATTACCAGGCTAACAATAAGAGCAATGATATCTCAGGCTTAAGTGTCTTTAAACTTGCCTTCTTTTATCTAACAATGTATTTTAGATTCTAAGACAATAAGCATATATCATTTTGTTCGTATTAGTGGCATAGTACTCACTCTCACAATTTCACCCCAAATGATATTGCCTCTCAATGATCAAAATAGCAGCCACTGTCAGCAAAATGAAATTAGATTCCTGATACCACAATCTATAAAATTTATGGAGAAATGGAGAACTTAACATTATATGTGCATGTATTTTCATTAATCATTTATACATTCATTTGTTTCTCAAATAGACTGCTGAACAGAGCAGAAACCATTTCTTGCACCCAGGACAGCACTGAGAACGTAACAGTGAAAACCAAAGACATGACCAAAAGCAGACATTCTGCATCCTGATAGAATAATGATTCTTTACATGTTATTCTCCTCCCAAATTCTATGAACATTTTACTAATTTCGCAGAGCAGGTCACACATTCAACCAGAAAGCATATTTTTAATGAGAAAGAGGAAGGGAAGGAGGAAAAATAAATAAAACAACAGATTTCAAGTATTGAGCCCTTCCTGTACTGAGGATTATGCATGTGTTATTTCATCTTCACCATAACTTCATGGTACAGGCAAAATTGTAACCCCCAGTGAACAGATGAGGAAACTAACCCACAGAGAGTTTCAGGAACTTGTCCAATACCAAATCACTAGTAAGTGGTGACATCACTTACATCAGAGTCTCCACCATATTATGCACTATGCTATAATATCGCCTACAAAAGAAAAGAAAAAAAAATCTCTTGTCTCCTTCCTGTTTCTGGCCACCACTACTGTGAAACTCGCACAGGAAACATAAAAAGTGATGTATCACAAAAATCCGACTTCTTTAAATTTCATCTTCTTGATCTATGTAAAATAATGATTCTTTCTTATCATCCCCCCAAAAAGACACTACTGATGGTTAGAGTGATCCCAGATCTTAATAATTAATTGAATTTGGAATATACATAATTTTGTATATGTATCTGGAGAATGAAAATAAGTAAAGTTGTATTCTCTATCTTAAAATGTCTAGCTCTACCTGATAAAAATTCACTAACCGTCATTTTCTGGACATTGAATTCTAAACTTTTACTTTTCACTTTAGTAAATGAAAATAAGCACAAATGACTCCTGCTTTATCTCTGTTACCATGTATATAGATCTTTTAATCTGTTGGTAGGCTTGAACTTCAGTTTACCTTCACATAGGATTCCTTGCTTGACTGATTCTGAGATTACTGTCATCTGTTCAGCTCTCTAATGTTAAAGAGAAAATCTAACTGGGCAATTTGACAAGTATCTACTTCCTTTTCTTCTCTTTATTCTATTCCAGTATGTTGGAAGAATCTAAAATACAATTAATGCTTTATCAGCCAGGATTCAACTAGAGAAGAAGAGTCAGTAAAAGACATATATTAAGAGATTTATTACAAAGAATTGGCTTACACAGTTGTGGGGGCTGGCGAGGCAAGTCTGGAATCTGCAGCACAGGTCATGGAACTATAGGAAGAGCTAAAGCTTCTACCAACAGAATTTCTTCTTTCTCAGGGAAGCATCAGTTCTGTCCTTAAGTACACTAAACTGACTGAATCAGGCCTACCCGATTATGGAAGATAATCATTTTCTTAAAGTCAACTGATTTAGAACTTAAATCACACCTATAAAATACCATCACAGCAATACCTAGATTAGTGTTTGATTGAATAATTGGGGCTATAACCTAGCCAAGTTGATCAGAGAACTGATATCACCTGTTTATTTAAGTACACGCTAATATGGCCTCTATATAATAAAGATAAAGGATAAATATAAACAAGAGAAAGGAAGGAAGTACCAAAGAGTTAGCTTAGAAATTAAATTTTCTAAATTGGAGTTTTCCTATCAACTTTATATAATATGCACATATATTGTTATTTGAATTCTGATAAGCTGCATTTTAGTCCTAATATTCATATTTAGCATTTTCACCTTTCCTTGGTTTGGGAACAAATGAGAGCAAATCAATAGCATTTCATATTTGAACTTGGGCTAACTCATAAGTTATAAAAGTGACCTTTGCTCTACCTTGAGTATGGAAGCTATTCTTTGAACATACCAAAGTAGGACTTTATATGTTATCTCCTTCTTACTCTGCAAGTCAATCACTTTCATTATAGAAGAACAAGGTTGACACTGAGTATCTTGCTATTATGAAAAGTGTCCCTTGACTGACTAGTATGTGATCATTGCGTGAGAAGACAAACACTGTGTGTGTTTATGTAGAATACTAGGAGAGAAAAATATCTCCTGCATGTCAAGATTTTCTTAACCTACTAATGAGCATTTGCTCTCTTTCTTCCTTAACAGAAGCCAGGCCTTATTTGTTAAACACAGTCTGATGTCAGTACACTGCTTCACTATTAACAACATAGTACAGCATCAACGCTAAGGTCACCATATAATGAGCTTACCTGATTTCAATACAGGACAAT